GAAACCATCCCTAACAAATGTTTTAGAACATACTATTGAATATTTAGGAACAAAATCTATGCTATTATTTATGGATCAATCCTTACCTAAACCTCAAATCACGAGACAAGAATCTGGATACTAATTACAATAAGGATCAATGTGTCGTCGGATCATGGGGTTGGTTAATCCAGTCATCAGCGCATCTCAAACACGGGAAAATCAAGATCACAGAGCAGGTTTTGATGTGTCTGGTTTGATCATTGGAACACCTTATCATCATCGCTTGAAATCTTAAGTATCTTTCCATCAACTGATCTTGAAGAGAGGTCCAAATCTATGGAAATTAACCGGCTCAACCTCTTACCCTCTGATCACACTTGAGAGAGATGAGACAACTCCAGCCATTTCTCATCACTTGCCTTTCGAAAGAAGGAATGTCCGAGAGCATGTTCAAATTAATCCTTGGTGAGGTGGTGTACCATGTTGCGTATGGGATGAACTTCCAAGATGACACATGGTTCGGACTAAGCGATTTTATTGTATTGCAAAGCAAAGCAAAACAGAGTTTCAGAGAGAACTTTATATCTTCTAGTGCTCGAAGATGAAGAGTTGGTGATTCGTCTGATGAAGAATCTTCTCCCAGAGATAAGCACAAGGCTAAACCCACCATAAAGAGAGGTATTGGTAGATAACAGTTGTTGGGTCTTGGCATTTACGGGTGCATTCTGCGCCATCATTGACTTGATATAGTTTTGTTCTCGACCTTGATTGGATAAACCAACACGAGGATTAGTGTCTTCATATGTCAAACAATGGGAATGATCTAAATGTTCTTGTTCCTCATAATGTGGTTTTTTTTTTTTGTTTCTGTAATCTTTTTGTTAGGTGGAAATTGGTTCTCAAGTTCAAAAAAAAAATAATTGGAGATGGGTGGTCTTTTATGGTTAGCTTGTACCTAAATTTTTGATATTATTGGACTTTATTATAGATGGGCCAAGGGACCTATAAAGTGAGACACATGCTACACAGAGTGATAAAGTTCCAATCACCATTGCAGATGAGTCGTTCCTTTTAAACAAATAGCAAAAGAGACTTTGATTATAATATCGAAATAAAAACCAACTTAAAAGTCTTCTTGATTATATACACCTCTGACCTGTCGATAAAACAATTTACATATGTTCACACTTGACAAAATAAATAAAAAGGAAATACACGAAGGCAAGGCAAGGTAAATACACGAAGGAAATATACATGTAAGATAAATTAAATTTATACTAGATTTTGACCCACGTCAAGCATGAGATTAAAATATGAAATATGTTTTTAATCGATTTTAATATTTGTAAATGTGTAAATGTAGTTTTTATATAATTATATAACTATATAATAACTACATTTACAAATATTTACACATTTCATTATTGGAAAACATATATTGTTTTTCGTTTGTGATGTCCAATAAATTCATATAAATCTAAAAATTCTTTGATTTATCGCATGCTCTATAATTTACAAACTG